ACCAGGTCGCCAGCCTCTTTGTGGACTCTGCCCTGGGGTGGGATTGTGAGGGCAGGAGGGTGAACAGGCCTAATCCTGTGTGCTGCCCGTGGCCTCAGGCACATCAGAGATGTGGTGACATCTCAATATTGCATTCTTTCCCTCCTTACTTTTGCTGTCAGCTTTAGTTGGTTTATTTTCTCATTTAAAAAAAAAATGACACAAGATTAAATGGAAGTTTTTCCATTTTTCCATTTCTATTGTATATGGGTAACTCTCATTCAAAATGAATTTGTTCCCTTTATTGTGTCATCTGTATTTCAGTTCTAAACAAACAACAAACTGAAAAATAAAGACATCTAAGTCAATTTTAATATTAAGGCTTGCCTCTCCTCAAAATTATAAGCAACAATTCAAAGAGGCAAATTTTGAGAGAATTAAAAGCTAATTTGGTGATTTGGTGAGTGAAAAAAACTCAACAAAGGTATTGTGTAGCCTGGTTTGTTATCTATATAAGCATCAGTACCAGAAGTGGCAAGATGTCAAATTAGACAGTGTTCATTTAAGGCATGTAGCTGTGTTATGATGCTTTAATATGAACTTTTATATATCTATTTCAAATCTCTAGCTATATTTGACTAGATTTTGTTGCTGTTCATATATACAGAGGTAGATAAGCTTTCTAAAAAAAAATTATTAGGACCCTCGTTCTGCTGGTGGACATGTAAATTGGTGCAGCCACTATGGAAAACAGTATGGAGTTTCCTCAAAAAATTAGGACTAGAGCTACCATATGACCCAGCAATCCCTCTTCTGGCTGTATACCTGAAAAATTTAAAAACATTTATTTGCAAAGATATATGCACCCCTCTGTTCATTGCAACATCATTCACGGTTGCCAAGATGTAGATAAGCTTTGTTAAAGCTTTGGATCCACAGAACACTAGCATTTACTGGTTTTTAAAAAGCGTTTAATGTGCATAAATTAATTTACACATTAATGTGACAAAAGACCTAATCTCTAAAAGAAGCCACTGATTCTAAGGCCAGTTCTGTTATTTTCTGGGAGGTTTTTTAGTTTGGTTTGGTTTTGAGGTAGTTAATACATTCATTTAATTCAGAATTTAAAAGGTACAGTGGTGCTTTGAAAATTCTTTCTCCCAGTTATTTCTCTTTTCAGGAGGCAACCAATGTTTTCATCTCTAAACCATTCTGATTTTTAAAAATTTCAGTAAATTTTGACATATTTGTGATCAATATGTACCTAATATTTTATGTTCTATTTATGTCATTGGCACAATTATATTACCAAATCTTTTTATTTGAATAAGAGCATTTAATTGTTTCTACTTAACTCTTTTCTTATTGGGAATTTAAATTTTTTTCTGTTTAATTATGTTGCTGTCAAAATAGCATACATTAGCATCTTTATATAAAAGTATATAAAAATATGAAAAGCTACCATATTTTTATTTCACAATTTTACACTTCTGAAATTTTGTATATTCATTGTTGATGTTTGCTGTAAGCAGTGTCATTTTTTGGTGTTTTTTTTCCTTCCTATGAAAAGCTGTTGTTAAATGAATGATATCATTTATAATTAATAGAGTTTGAAGTAGAGGAGAAATGATATTTTCTTGTATTTGTTTCTCAGAGAGGAAGCACTAAGTTAAGGAAGTGATAACATTATTATAATCCTAGTTCTGTTACTAGATTTCTTAGCAGAGTGGTTGAATTAATTGAAGATTTTATTCCCCCATTCCCCCTCTTGAATTTAATATATATGAGATAGTGATCAATCTCAGAGTTTAAAAAAGGAGATTGCATATTTGCCATATAGGTTTCCTTTTAAGTGTTATATTCAGAGTTTAAAACAAATTGCAATCTTTATTTTTTTCTAAAATTATTTAGTATTTCTGGGTATTCTGGGTATTATTTGCCTACATATTCCTAGGCCTACTATGGAATGTTTTTTTTTTTTTAAATGTTTATTAACTTTAGCCGAAACTGGTTTGGCTCAATGGATAGAGCGTTGGCTTGGGGACTGAAGGGACCCGGGTTCGATTCCGGTCAAGGGCATGTACCTTGGTTGCGGACACATCCCCAGTAGGCGGTGTGCAAGAGGCAGCTGATCGATGACTTTCTCTCATCGATGTTTCTAACTCTCTATCTCTCTCCCTTTCTCTCTGTACAAAATCAATAAAATATATTTTAAAAAAATAAAATAAAATAAAGTAAAATGTTTATTAACTTTAAAAACATATACATACTATGCATTGTTAGCAGTTTTTCTCCTTCAGTGCAGTAGAGCACATAGGTGTGAAACACTTGTGGATGTGTGCCTTGCTACCTGCTCACTTGTAGTTTAGTCTTGGGGTTCTGTCCAATGCACTATTGGCTCTTAGTATGTGTTCTGGGTAACAAGTCTTCAAAGCATACAATAGTTAATGTGTTTGTTTTAAAATGTAGTCATTTCCTTCTCTTAATTGTACAATTCTTATAAGAAGCCTGTTACACTCAGAAAGAATCTGAAGAGTTGTTAAAGGAGTGCAAATCTCAGTAAACTGGCAATTATTTCCAAAAGGGTCTGTGAGAGAAGAGGAGGGGGAAACTGGGGGGGGGGGGGGGGGGAAGGGATGCTGGTTGGAACTACTGCTCTGTGGGATAACTTACTATGATTAAAACCACAAAAGGGCTTTATATTTACTTAAACATAATATCCACATTTAACAAGTGGCAACAGGAGTCGACATTGTCTGGTGGCTGGCAAATTTTGGGGATTATAATAAAAATTTGTGTTTCTATTATTATTTTTTAATCTGCTTTAGTTTAGAACATAAAGTACATTTTCCCAAAGATAGTCTTTGCAACCATTATTTCAATAAGAGATTTCAAGGAAGTAGCAAACTTTATCAATTGGTTTGGTCTTTAATATTAGCTACAGGAGCAATTATTTGGATTATCATGTTAACATAATTTTTCACCCATCAATCTTTTTGAAAGTATTGTTTGCTTAGATTGAAACATTGAAACGTTTCCTCCTGCTTGTAGTGCAACAGATTAAAAGAAACACAGGCAAATCAACATGTAAAACTGGGTCAGTCAGTCACCTGGGGATCTGTGTGCCAGTGGTCTGGATTGTGTGAGCTGGGAGTTGCACAAAACCCAGAGAGAGACAGCAAAGTGCTGCACCTTTCCGCTTGGTGGACAAAAGGGATTCGGGCCCTCAGGAATCCAGGACAATAGCTTCCCAGGAAGGGGGAAGGAATCTAGTGTCAGTGTTGGCAGTTGTGGATGTTAATGGGAGTAAAGGGCCAGGATCGGAACTGGAGTCGTTGGGGGCTTATAGCCCCAGGCCAGTTAGGAGAATGGGCTGGGACTTATTTGTGCCCCTTGGAAGGAGGTCTGGGAGGGTTGTGATATTTAGAAAAGTGGACATGAATGTGAGTGAAGATAGAATGAAGTTGTTACAGTGTCCCAAAGAGGCATACATTTCCTGTTTCACATGTGATATACTATTACAGTGAAGTTATGATTATATAATACTAGAGGCCGGGTGCATGAAATTTGTGATTGGGGGGGTGCGGGGTCCCTCAGCGCATTCTTGCAAGGGGTCGCCTAGTAGGGTCCCTAGGCCTGGCTGGCGATCAGTGCCTATTGGGGCTTTCCTTCCCTTGGCTGCTGGCAACTGGCCCCACGATCAGTTGCATCACACCCGCCTTGACTAGCCTGGCGCTAGTTTATATCATAGTGTGGTTGTTTGTAAGGTCGTCTGGACAATGTTCTGCTGTTTGGTCATTTGGTTGATTTGCATATTATGCCTTTATAATAATAAAAGCATAATATGCTCATTAGACCGGACAGCCGAACGACCTTTCAGACATCCTTCTGGATGACTTTCTGGACGAAGCTGGGGCTGCGAGAGCTGAGGCAAACTGCTGCAGCTAGCCCTGCAAGGGCCAAGGTGAGCCGCCACAGCTGCGAGGGCCAAGCCCCTTGAATAAATTTCGTGCATTGGGCCTCTAGTTATTATAGATAATTATGTCAATATGGTTATGAGTATATTATATATATAATGTAAATAGCTACAGGTGAAATGAAGTTGTGCAAATGAGACTTTTCACTCCATGAATAGAGATATGTATTTAAGTTTTTATAAGTGTATTCATTTTTATATATCCATGATATATATTCTTTCTTATAGAAACCAGAAAAGGAGTTGATAACAGTTTTGTTAAACATTCTTTTTTCCCCCTCTACTAGTTAACGGATTTCAGATGCAAATACCCGCATTATCCAAGTTCAGATCTAGAGATATGGACATGGCTTTGTCTTGTCTGTGTTGTACTCATGGGAATTAGGTATCCATTTCCCAGCTCTGCCTTGAAGAATTTTTCTGGTTTTGTGTTGAAATAATACTGACATTGTCTTCCTGAATTCTCTCCTTTTGTGTGGGCATTGCTGTGTAGAGATTTGCTCAGGATAATACATTTTAAATTTGAACCAGAAGAGACTTCCCATCTCACTTAAGGCACCTCTGTGGGGCAACATTGTTTTACTTGTTCTACAACCCAAGGAAGTGGAAGCAGGTGTCTGAGCTAAAGAAAGCGAGTGGTTGCTGAGATGAGGAAAGAAACTATTGTAGGTTCGAATTTTTGTTCCAGTTCCTAAGAGACACCAAGCATCTCTTTCCCTCTCATCGGAGCTCCCCACTGCTACATTTGGCTTCACTTTTGGGTTGAAATGAGTTTCTTAGTTTTGCCATTTTGTATATAGCTGGGCTGACCCTGGAAAGACTGGTCTGAGAAACACTTGACATTTCAAGTCCAAACAAGCCATAGATTGGCTTGAGCAGTTTGGGACCATCCCAGTGAACTGGCCAAAGCGCTGTGCTCCCGTTTCCCGGTGAGGAGGGAGATGTAGAGTGGGTACAACTTAGAGGCTTCTTTGGATTTTTTTTGTTACATTGCCAGTCAGGCTCTGATTTGGAAATCTGCTTCTCTCTCCTCCCTTGTCTGCAGGCTGGCGGCTCTCAGGTCATCTTTACCAACCCACTGGAGATTGTAAAGATTCGGTTGCAGGTGGCTGGGGAGATCACCACAGGGCCCAGGGTCAGTGCCCTCAACGTGCTCCGAGACCTGGGACTTTTTGGTTTGTATAAGGTGGGTAGTTTCCCTCTGGTTATCTCAACAGAAATGTTGCGATGAACTCCAGTCTTCCCCCCTGTTCCCCCCCCAAAAAAAAGAAAGAAAAAAAAAGGAAAAGCTGTCTTGTCCAGCAGGGTAGTTCCTAGAGCAGAAAATCAAACAAAAGGAAAAATCAGGACAGGTGTATCAGAGGCAGAAGCTGTACGAGCACAGCTCCTGGTGTCACCCGCAGGCTCCGGTGAAGCGGCTGGCAGGGCCGGGCTGCAGACCTGCTGGCTGAGGCTCATGGCCTTTATTGGATGACTGGTTTGGGAAAAGTTTCTTTGGTGGTGTCTTTGGCTGATTTAGGACTTCAGGATGGTCTTATGTTTATTTTGAGTCTGAGTTATCTCTATTGTTATCTTCCCAGTAGGAGCTTCTCTTTGTCCTAATAATTTGACCACAGTGAAACAGTAGTCGACTTTGGTAGGATTCGGGCCTTTAAGAAGTTAAGTGGTGGGATTTGTCAATAATGAATTCCATTAAAAAAAATAGAGTGTATTGTACTTTAGCAAAATGCCAGTCAACAGATTCCTTCCCTGCAGGTATACTTATTCCCATTATTACAGATCAGATGTAATGGAGCAAAAGCTGTTATTTTTCTTAAACAAGGAAGAGTATTTCTTTTCATTCTTTTGCCTGGTATAAGGGGGGATACATAAACTTGGCTGCTATAGACAACTGAGTTTTCACAGCATCTGATTTATTTATAGATCCATCACTGCAAAAATGTGTCAGTTGGCTTCTGGAGCAGCAACTTAAAATGAGAAATTCTGTGGATTAGACTCAGAGTGCGACAGGGCTGTCAGGAGACCAGTAGAGCAGTGATTCCTATCTTGAGTTTTGTACACATTCTGTCCCTTCCACCCCCAATTCCCATCCTTTTTGGAATTCCCTTTGAGACTGAATTTATGAATTAAAAAAAAAAATTAAAAACATTTTAGGTGATGTCTTTTTCTGTTGTTGCTGTTAATTTTCATTGCCTCTGCATGTGCCCTGGGGTCGAACCTGCTACCTAAGTATGTGCCTTTGACCGAGAATCAAACCTACCACCCTTCAGTGGGTGGGTGGACACTCTAACCATTAAGCAACACTGGCCAGAGCCAATTCAGGTGTCTTTTAAAAATAGCTATTAAGGTCTGGCCTGTGGCTCAATGGTTGAGCATCAACCAGTGAACCAGGAGGTTTTGGTTCAATTTTCTGGTTAGGGAACATGCCTGGGTTGCGGGCTCAACCCCCAGTAGAGTATGTGCAGGAGGCAGCCAATCAATGGTTCATCATTGATGTTTCTATCTCTCTCCTCCTCTCCTTTCCTCTCTGAAATCAATAAAATTATATTTTAAAAAATAGCCATTAGGGAACTAAGTACCAAAGCTGGGCTATTCGCCTGGCTCTGTAAAGCCCTGGGCAGTAGAACATGTGTAACCTTAGTCACTGAAACAGACTGTCCCTGGTGGCTTTCTACCCCCATGGAAACCTCCTGCTGAAATATTCCATCTGGGTCCCCCCAGTCCTGTGCTATGTAGGAATGGGAAAAAGGAACATTGGTGGTTTTTTACCCCTTCCTTTCCCACTGCCACTGCCCATAGCTTCTTACCGGACTCTCACGGGCTCTAGCTAGTGTGGATTGAATTGGTAATTTATTAGTTTTGGCGCTGCCTTTGCTGGTTGCTTTGGCATCAAGCTATTAATATTGGGTCTCCAAGTCTATTCCCTGCCACCTCTACCTCCAACCCCATCAAAGCCAAACAGAATAAGCCTGGAGGTTTGAGAATTGAATTTTTCTATACTGGAAATGCCAGAAAATTCTTAGTTGTAAAAATGATGTTATTGTCCAGTTAACTAACTATAGGATTCTGGAATTCACCAGCCTTTCTCAAGCTTTGAGTCATGTATGCTTCTCTGTGTCCCACCAGTTCAGTTCTCCCCACTTCCCTTTCACATCAATCCCAGTGCTGTCTGAGGGGCACCTCAGGCTTGTCGCCGAGTGGACATTCACACCCTGTTTATACAACTGTTTTGCTCTGTTTCCTCACGGTGTGACAGGGTGCCAAAGCGTGTTTCCTCCGAGACATTCCCTTCTCTGCCATCTATTTTCCTGTGTATGCTCACTGCAAACTGCTTCTGGCTGATGAAAACGGACGCGTGGGAGGTGCAAATCTGCTGGCAGCTGGAGCCATGGCAGGTAACACAGTTGTTTTTTAAGCCAAAAGAACCCTCCCCCATTCTCCTTAAGAAGCACAGAATCTCTGTGTACTTTCCCTCTTTATTTCTGGAAGGGTTATTGTTCGTATCTGACTTAGTTTAAATGTGATCGCTTTTACTCCTTTGTGGGATGTGCTGTAGTTCTGATGAGAGTTAATTACATTTGCATAATGTGGATAAACAGCTTAATGCCGCTTAGCAACTTGGAGCCAAATTCGATCTGCCCATCTAAATTGGGCTTTCATCATCAACGTGTTCCTTAGCCTTCTGTGCCCCTCAAACGTTGGGTGCAGCCAAGCTAAGTGTTAAGGTGGAAAAGTTATTTATCAAACCATTGCTTTGTTGTATCTCATGCTGACGCACAGGTCTGGTATGCCCTCACTTTCTAGCTTATTGGAATCTATAAGATTTGCCTCAAAATTGAGCTTTTATCATAAAGATGTTCCTGTGTCTTCTGCCATCGTCCTTAGATCAGAGTAAGCAATGCTTCCCCAGCAAACCACCATGTCCTTGATTGGCATCTCTTCTCTGCCTCTTAATGCTTTCTGCCTTTTATGAATGGGGGTTTGTATAGTTTTGCCTTCTGTACTAGACTTGGAGCTCCTTAAGGGGAGAGGTTTCGTTCTGTTCATCCTTGCCTTCCCTATGTGGCCAGCATAGTAATCTATATATATATAAAAGGCTAAGTGACCAATTGACTGTCCACTGACTGACCGACCGTCCAACTGGTCGGTACGTATGACACACATTGGCAATTTAAACATAAACGTTGACTTGTGCATGTCCTTTTCTCCCTGGATGACAGGGAATGACGTGAAGATTAGGAAACACTCCCACGGCCCTAGCTGGCTTGGTTCCGTGGATAGAGCATCACCCCACGGACTGAAGGGTTGTGAGTTTGTGAGTTCGATTCTGGTCAAGGGCACATAACTCCATTGCAGGCTCCATCCCTGGCCCTGGTTGGGGCATGTGTAGAAGGCAACCAATCGATATGTCTCTCTCCCTCCCTTCCACTCTCTCTCAAAATAAATGGAAAAAAACCCTCAGGTAAGGATTAATAACAAAAATTCTCCCAGGGACTTTGAGCCCTTATTTGGGGTTCAGAAAGTCCCCTGTCTTCTGGCATTTGGAACTTCAGTCAATTGCATGCACATTTGAGAGGCAGTAAAGCTACCAGCTCAGCCTCGGCACTGAGTGCTCACCCAGCCCCATGGTGCTCACCAAAGTCTCCCAGTTTTAACTGGGGCCAGCAGGTTTCCCTTTGTCTTCTCTCATAACCAGCAGCATAACCAGCCACGAGCAGTGTAATCGCGGACAGGTCTGTGGCCAGTGCCTGATGGAGCCAAGTAAACACTCCACAGAACTGTCAGGACCAACTTCTCGCCCACAGACAATTGATGTCAGTTTTCAGAATGATGATGAATTTGTCTAATTTTTACCCATGAAGCTTTGCTGGCAGGCACTGAGAATATTCAGAATTCAGAACATTTGAAAGACAGGCAGTTACCCAGTTTCAGCTGCGTAAGGAGCAGAGCCCTGTGGTGAAGCTGTGAGCCTCTCCCCATGAGGAAGGTCGCCTGGCTCCTGTGTTTCCTGTTTTGTTTTATAAGGAAAAGGTGTGGTTCTGAAGGCCATCTTGTATGTCCCTGCTGCTGGTCGATCTCGTCATGGGAGCTCGGCACAGGGGATGGATGATGTGGCCTTGCACAATCAGGCCCCCTCATGTCCTTTAACCAGTTGCTGGGCCTCCTCTGCTCCAGTTGTGATGACTTCTGTCATAAGCAGTCACAGGCAGCTCTCAAATTAGCCCTCCAACGGGAGGGGTCCGAGTATTGCTATTCACCTCACACAATAAGGTGACAAGAACTGGCAAAAAACACCACCACCACATGTTGGAACTGGTTTGGCTCAGTGGATAGAGTGTTGGCCTGTGGACTAAAAGTCCCAGGTTCGATTCTGGTCAAGGGCATGTACCTTGGTTGCGGGCACATTCCCATTTTGGGGTATGCAGGAGCTGATCAATGATTTTCATCAATGTTTCTAACTTTCTATCCTTCTCCTTTCCTCTCTGTAAAAAATCAATAAAATATATTTAAAAAAAAAAAATACCACCACCACCCTAGTTTAATGTCAGATACATTTAGGAGTTCATTAAATTGACATCATCCTCATTTCTTATTATAAATGAAAACACTTGGTCTTATTTAAGAAAAAAGGAGGTAAAGTAACTAAAATCTAAAGGAGAACATTTGGGAATTATCCCAGTAATATTGCTGCCTTCCTCTCCCTTCTCCCTCTCTCCCCCAGCTCAGTTCTTTGAGAGCATATAATACAGAGTATTTTCCTAATTTAGAAAGAAGAGAATTCACCCTGACCACACTGACACAGCTACTGGGTGTTTGTATCCCTTTTACATTATTGCCCAGGCACCTATTTAGGAGGCTATGAATTTGAACAGTTGAAGTTTCTAAGTGTTCGATGCTAGCAGTAGTATTTCTGTCCCTTGTAAGGTGCTTTGGATTAATTAAATGTGACTTTCTCCTGAAAGGTGTGCCTGCCGCTTCTCTGGTGACCCCGGCTGATGTCATCAAGACAAGACTGCAAGTGGCTGCCCGTGCTGGCCAGACCACATACAGTGGTGTCATCGACTGTTTCAGGAAGATACTCCGGGAAGAAGGGCCCTCAGCTTTTTGGAAAGGAACAGCAGGTAGGGGCAGGGCCATGTGGAGAGGCTGGGCCGTGTGAAGTGGTTGGGCTGTGAGGAGAGGCTGGGCTGTGTGGAGAAGCTGGCTGATGTTAGGGGCCTCCCCCATTACCACAGATCGTTTTTGCCAGTCAGTCTGGTGTTAAGCGCCCCGCTCCCATCTCTCTTTCAGCCCGAGTGTTTCGGTCCTCTCCCCAGTTTGGTGTTACCTTGGTCACCTATGAACTTCTCCAGCGGTGGTTTTACGTTGACTTTGGAGGCCTGTAAGTGCAGCTGTTGAACACCTTTGTAATGAAAACACCCAAACCAAATAGGGCTTTGCCTACAGAGACAGTTTTGGAACTGAAAGGACAGAGAAGCCTAGAGGACCAGTGCATGTCAGTCAAACAGTGGGCTTAAATCCAAAAGCCTCACTTTAGGGAGTGGAGATCTCGACATGGCGACATCACACACAATATTCAGCAGCTACTTGGGGAAAGTTTAGGGAGGAGCAACATAAAATGTGTGAATAGGTACCTTTCTTTAGTGTAAGCAATATGAGCTTCATGGATTTAGGTTCTTATTATTTAGATTTCACCAGAAGTAATGAAAGTTTGTATTAGTAACACTTTTGTGACCGTTCTTTCAAAGATTTAGTTAAGCCCTCACACCTCTGAGGTTTCATTATTCACTATAACTTATTATTGGAATAGGTTTGGATGTTCTTAGAGCTAATCTATTGCAAACTAAACGGAAGAGGCTCAGAGAGAGGTGATGCCTGTGGACATAGTCACTGGTGAGATCCAGGCCAGGAATTGGGCCTCTTGAGGCTTCGTACCTGAAGCTTGTGCTGGAGAGAAGAGCAGCAACTTGTTGAATTTGCTGTGTGGAGAGATTATACCCACAGCAAGCAATTACCAGCTTTTTAGTGTAAGATAAACCCTGAATCTGAGTCTTTGCCTCATAAACCAAATAGAGGGACTTGTACAAGGAAGATCAATCTTACACTCCAGGCTTTTGTATGCTTTCACATTCTGTAAAACTAAGAATTACATTTATGTCTCTTCAAACAATTTCAGCAATAATTTTCATGAGTTTACTATTTTAAAAGTTAGTGTTTTAAATTCTCAAAGGGAAAATGTAACTTTTTATTGTAAGTTTATGCATTGTGCAGAAAATTTGGAAAATAGTAAAGTAAAATAGAAAATCACTCATAGTTCCACTTCTCAGAAAGTTTTAATATTTGAGTGTATTTTCTTCTGATCTATTTTCTAAGGATCTATTTATATAAGTTTATAAGCATTGAAATTGACACCATTGACTCCTAAATCAAATATGTGAATGTGTTGTTGTTTTCAAAGCCTCTATAAATTGTGGTTACTGCAGCACAGATGACAAGGAAATAGTTGGACAAATAATACTCTTCTTCGCGGCATGTGAGTCAGACTGAGATGTTGAGCTGTGTGCCATCCTCAGTCCTGAACACGCTAACCATGAGCTTTGTCCTCCCAACAGCAAACCCTCTGGCTCCGAACCCACACCTAAGTCACGTATCGCAGACCTTCCTCCTGCCAATCCCGATCACATCGGTGGATACAGACTCGCCACAGCCACTTTTGCTGGCATTGAAAACAAGTTTGGCCTTTATCTCCCCAAATTTAAATCTCCTAGTGGCCCTGTGGCTCAGTCAAAGCCAGTGGCAGCAGCTCAGTGATGAGATGACTGCTGAGCGTGGCAGAGCAGCTCCCTGAAGAGAGAGGCCCAGAGAGCAGCCCTGCGATGTACCCAGTCAGCCGCACGGTGCTGCCTGAGCCGAGCCTATATGTCGTATACATGTATCTGTTTATAGTCATTTGCCCAGGAAAAAAAATACAATGCAGTTTCAAGCTGTAGTCATGTGTTGAAATGTTTTTAAGCTTTGGCATGAGTTAGTGTTCTTAGACTGCTTTGCACAGCTTGCACTTATAGTGAGTGACTGTACATATTGTACATCTTTGTACAGAGACACCTTGGCACCTCATCTCAACAAATCACATTTATAGAATGTACGCATTTCCTAGTGGCTTGAAATGTACAGAATGTTTTGAAAGTGTTTTATTAAGAATCACACGGAAATAAATGTATTACAACTAAATTCATTCTCTCATGGGTGACTGATGGAACTGAAGCATCAATATTGGATGTATTTAATTTCTAGTTTGTTTTCCATTCTGGAAGAAAAAGGTATTTGCTGATAAAGAGGTATCACAAGTCCAAGTGCCAACACCGTTGGATAAGCGATCCTTTGGAAAAGACGCCTGTCAGTGGAGGCGCGAGGACAGGCTGAGACTCGCGGTGCTGATGCGTTTCCATTGTGTTAAATGTGTGCATACGTCCTCCTCTGCTCATCGCTCCAAAGGCGTTTCCTAGACGGCTCCTCTGCCATTGTGTTCCTGGAGACAGGGCATCTTCGCTCTGCTGGCTTAGTTTTGCCTTCTTCCTCTGACACAGCGAGGGCCTAGCTGTCAAAACAGTAAAGGATGCTTTGGTAATTTTCCTCATGAATATGATTCCAATCAAAAATAAAATACCAAAATGTGTGTGCATGTAGTTGGATTTTCCTTCATAAATATACTGATAGTGCCTTTTATTTTGATTTGCTACTAATTCCAAATAACTCATGATCAGGTTTCCCTCTCTTACATTTTTATAGGAAATCGGTCCTTTCAGAAAGGACTGTGTTGGAATGAGGGGAGAGAAGACGAAAAATAAAAGCTCTGTCTTATGATTCACTGGGGCCAGGTTCTTCCTATGAATGCAAATACAAACTGCTTATTCCAGAAGTCACTCACCGAGGGTGTGATTACTAATTTAGATCTCAACATGCATCTTGACAGCCACATCTACACTTCAGTGTGGTTGTGACTTGATGAGTAGTGTCAGAATTTACTTACTTTAGCAAAGTGCTCTGGGAAAACATTATTGCTGTTGCCAGTGAGCCGGGATGTGAGAATGTATGCAAATATTTTCAAGGGGCAAGCCTGCGATGGACCAAGTCACTTAGTGTCCTCCCCAGCACTCCTCAGGATGGCTGACAGCCCTGTGACGCAGCCATAGGCTCCCCAGGTCCTGCAGGAACGAAGGAACCAGCTTTGAAAGCAAAGTTTTCATTTCTTATCAGAATAGAATGAATAACAACCCAGTTGTTCTTCTATTGCTACCTGTTAAAAATGTGCAAGTAGCCCATGGATATGTTCTTATAGAAGATTCCTATGATAAAATATATGTACGATTATTTAGAGTAAGATGTGAAAGTGCCCTCTGGACCCTGCTTCTCCCATTACCACTCCCTGCCCCAGAATTATCACTGCTAACAGGTTAGAGGATAAATTTGTAGCTGTTTTTCATACACACACACACACACACATTTATACTTTCAAACAGGATTATGTTTTAAATTTATGCATTGTTCAGTGGCTTTAGTTTACTTCATGACTTTTCATGTTGGGTCACAAAGTTTACCTTAATTTTTGGTAGTTGCATAGTATTGTATAGGTTATGATACTTTTCATAAATTATTCCTTGTTCACATTTATTTTTTTCACAATTGCAAGCAATGCTGTCATGAATGGTGAACATCTTTGTACACATATTTTGAGTACATGTGCTAGTATTTCATTAGGCTAGATATTTAAAATTGGAATTGGTAATTTACAAGATGTATGGATTTACATTTTATATATATTGCAACATTGTTCTTTTTTTAAAATATGTTTTTATTGATTTCAGAGAGGAAGAGAGAGGGAGAGAGAGATTGAAATACCAATGATGAGAGAGAATCATTGATCGGCTGCCTCCTGTGTATCCCACACTGGGGATTGAGCCTGCAACTCAGGCATGTGCCCTGACCAAGAATCAAACCATGACCTCCTGGGCGATGCCCAGTCACTGAGCAGTGCCAGCCAAGAGCCACATTGTTCTTTAAAAAAAGCTTTACTAATTTACTTTTCTACTGACAACATATGAGGATGCCCATTTTTTTTTTTTTTACCACGTTGGCAAAAATGGTATTGTTTTACATTTTAGTCAAATCATGATAAGTGATCATTATTTCACTTTTAATTACTAACATCTTTTCATAGTTACTGGTCATTTAAAATATTTTCTTATTGTGGAATGTATACAGTGTGTATACACAAACACACACATATGCTCATATGTATTTTAAGCAAATAGTTGTAAAGTAAAAACTCATATAACCACCCAGGTCAATAGAATATTGGTAACATCTAAATTCCCCCATATAATCCTCTCCTAATCCCTTCTCTCCTCTTTAACAGCATCTCCACCCTTCATTTCTTTGCTTTTCATTATAATTTTACGACCATATTTATATCCCTAAATATAATATTTAGTTCCTGGTTTTGAAATTTATATGAATTAAATTATATTGTATACTTTTGAGACTTGTTTCTTTTGCTAAACATTATGAGATTTGTTCAAATAACTAGCTAGAGTTTGCTTATTTCGTTGTATGAATATATGATATTACAATTTATTTTTCCATTTAACTCTCGACATCTGGGTTGTTTCCAATTTGGGGATATGATAGTGTTGCTCTGGATATTTTGTATGTGTATTTTGGAGTTTTCATTTTTAAAAGGATCTATACCTAAGGCAGAACCACAGAGGCACTGGGTTTGTTAGATTCTACTTTGCAAGATCATGTCAAACTATTTCCTAGAAGCTCTTACACTGATTTACGTTCCCCCAAGGGTGTACTTTTCTTCTTAATTTTTTCCAATCTATTGGCTGTATAGTGTTACCTCATGGATTTAAGGCATTTTCCATCAAACGAGGCCGAACATCTCTTATATGTTAAAATATACATTGTTCTTCACAAAGACTTGACTAACTTTCATACTGCCAGCATATGAAAACCCAGTGTGTTTATTTGGCTACTTAGAGTTTATCTTTAGTGAGTGAAGTACATGTTAAAGTTTTATCCATTTTTCTCAGTAATTTGCAGAGGGTTCTTTATATATTCTGGATACTACTCCTTTATGAGTTGTGCTGCAAAATCTTTTCCCAATGTGTGGCTTGTCTTTTCACATTGTTCTTGATATATTAACATTTTAGTATGTTCAAATATATCAATTTTTTTCTTATGGTTAGCATGTCTTATATTTCATTTAAAAATATTTTTACTCTCTAGGTATGAATATGGTTGATATTCTCTTTTTAAATGCTTTATAATTTTGCCTCTCACATTGAAGTTTCATCCTATACAGAAATGTCATATGAAGTAATATTTTTGCCCCTTTATATGGTTGGTCTGTTGTCCCAGCACTGTTTATTGAAAAGACCTTCCTTTCCCAACGGCGTTACAGTGCCTTCTCTGTTATGTATTAAGGGTGTGATCAGTGCAAAGATGTGTGTGTGTGTGTGTGTGTGTTTGTGATTTTTTTGTTTTTGTTTTTGTAATTGGTAGAGACTGTGCCACTACACACTCTTTTCCATTACTCTATCTTTTTAAAAAGTTTTGATACATAGAATAGCAAATCCTTTCACCTTCTTGTTCTTCAAGAAGATCTTGTGGCTGTTCTTGGTTCTTTGCTTTTCCATATCAATTTTAGAAACAGCTTATCAATTTCCTCTCAAAACTTAAACCAAACAGATTGAGATTTTGATTGGGGTGGCAATGACTCTGTAAGCCATTGGAGAGAATTTACATAATTATATTGGACCTTCTAATCCAAGAACATGATATATCTCTTATTTAAGTCTTTTTAATGTCTTAATCAAATTTTATTTGATTAATTTTTTACAGAGAGGAAGGGAGAGAAATAGAGAGCTAGAAACGTCGAAGAGAGAGAAACATCGACCAGCTGCCTCTTGCACACCCCCTACCAGGGATGTGCCCGCAGCCAATGTACATGCCCTTGACCGGAATCGAACCTGGGACCCTTCAGTCCACAGACCGACGCTCTACCACTGAGCCAAACCAACTTCAGCTCTTAATCAAATTTTATAATCATCAAAAGAGTCTTGTACATTGTGTATATATGTATTCATTCCTAGGTATGTCATATATTTAGATGCTATTAATCATATTTTTTTTTAAATGTCATTCCTGGTATACAGGAATATAATTGAGTTTCCCTCCCACTTTTTCAAAAATTTCAAACCTACAGAAAAATTTAAAGAGGCAAAATGAACTTTTAAATACATTTTTTCTTCTGAACTATTAAAAAGTGTGTTACGCCGGGACCGGTTTGGCTCAGTGGATAGAGCATCGGCCTGCGGACTGGAAGGTCCCGGGTTCGGTTCCGGTCAAGGGCATATACCTTGGTTGCGGGCACATCCCCAGTGGGGGGGTGCAGGAGGCAGCTGATCGATGATTCTCTCTCGTCGATGTTTCTAACTCTCTGTTCCTCTCTCTTCCTCTCTGTGAAAAATCAATAAAATATATTTTTTTAAAAAAGTGTTACAAATTCCATGGTTACTGAAATCCTAAATATTTCAGAAACCAGCAAACTTAAAAAGCACACACTACCAAACTGTCTTCCAAAGTGGTGGTATCATTTTGCATTTCCACATCCTCATCATCATTTGGTGGTGTCAGTTGTTCTACAATTTGTTCTAATAGGTAAGTAGTGATATATCATTGTTTTAATTTATATTTCCCTGATGACATGATTTGGAGTTTTTCATATGCCTGTTTGAACCTTAAAA